TAAGGCCAAGATTTGGACACTGGAGTGAATAAAGGCAAACTCTGAAATCTACACTTCATTATCCAAATAAATAGTCAGATTTCCAAAGACTCTGAGGATGCTGCAGTTTCCTAAAGCTGGTTTCGGTTTAGATTTCTCATCAATTTCCAGTTTCATGGGAATTTGGTTGAATGAAGTTGCCTGTTCCTTTCTAGCTAAAAGACAAAGCATACATTATGGAGCTGGTTCAGGCATAGAGCAGGATAGCACTACAAAGAGATGGCTGGAGAGTCAAATGGAGACAGGCAAAAACTGAAAAGAAATAGGCATCTGGTGAGGAGCTCTCTCATTTGGCCAGCTGAGCAAGGACAGGCAGGAATACAGCCAGAGATGGAGATGGCTGTTGGGACAGTATCACCCAATTCCCAGTGGAAGGGACTCCAGTTGCCTACAATCTGTATGTTGAGTGTGAGCCTGTATTAATCATTATTCCCAGTTATCAAAGAATTGTAATAAACAACCAGAAGCAGCACAAATTGTATCTCCTTTTAGGTATTTCAGAGGGCAAAAGCTAACTTCACCCTTTACAGAATCCCCTCCTGAACTGAGGCTGACCAAAGACAAAGTGGGAAAAGCAGCTATTCCCTTCAAGTTCCCCATCCTATTCCTGCTCCTTTCAGCCACAGCATGCAAACACAATACTTCTTAATCTGAATTTTATGAGGTATTTTTATTCTTCCTTTAAAGGCACTGGTCAAGTTCTCTCATTTGCACCAGCAAAGTCAACCAGGTCGTATCACTTACAGAAACATCAATCTGGCCTTGTGTTTTTCCCAGGCAATGAAGCTTGACTGCCAGGACATTCCTCACTGAACTTTATACAAAGTACCTCCCCAAGAATTGCCTGCACACACCTTGCTTTAACCCCTGGAGGCCCAGAACCACATCGGCACTCACACAACCTGCTGCCGTGTATTTAATGCAATTATTCTTCAAAGCTATGTCTCCTTATGTCTTCTGTTGCTTCTGTTAAAGTATTTTAAAACATTATTATTAGAAAAATAAAATTGTGGCTTCCGTTAAACAATGCAAATAGAAAAATAGTTTGGAGTTCAGATGGAGAAGGTTGTAAGAAGAGCAAGTAGTATCTCCTTGTTCCCAAGTGATTTCCCTTGGCAGTTATCTTTAATATGGCTGCTCAAGCACTGTATATCAGTCTTTCCAATTTGCAGACAAATCATTCAGCAAAAAATAAAATTTACTATAAACAGCAAATATCTTACTAACAAAACAAATTCACTGGCAGATTCAAGAGAACTAGTACTGTTAGACTATCATTATCAGAACTCAAGCACAGGCTGCTTTGTTAAGAGGACCATATCCAAGATAACTAAATAGAAGGACAAAGAGATAAATGAGAACGAGATGTCAGAAGATGAAAGCAGAAGAAACTCTTTCTCTTAGTAAGCAAAACTGTCATAGTTCTGCAGGTGGGAGAGAGCATTGCATTCCAGACACAGCACTGCTGAAAACTTACCAAAGGGGCAAGGACACCAGCCAGACCAAAAGTCCATGTGTCAGAGCTCCACAGAAGGCTCAATCCTATGTGGGAAAAAACTTGCACAAAAACAAGACAGGTCCTTGAAACATGTGTTTGAGGTACTTGTCTCTCTCCACAGGCAACTTAGGCTTCATACTAGTTCTCTGAATTCCACCGATGTTACAGGCTTAAAGATGTTGAAAATAGCCTTTGTGCCTAATTCCTTTACTCTCTTTCTCCTGGGCTTGCAGTGTGCTGACAGACAGAACAGACTTGCAACCCCCTGCCTTGCTTCCCTTCTAATCAGCAATGACAAGCTCATGCAGCAGAAAAATAAGAGACTGGCAGCTGTGGATCACCTCACTGCAAACCAGTTGCTCGTGGGAGGACCCAGTGGGAGGGCCAGGAAACCATTGCCCTCAGGTACTTTGTCAGCTGGTTTTGATTGCATTATGGTCATCTTGTCACACTTCACACAAAAAGACACTTATGTCTACTATTCAAGCCAGAATTTGAGCAAGAGCATATGTTTTATATATACAGTCTTGACTGGCACAGAGCAAAACAATGGAAAATTCCCATTTTCCTTAGGGAGTCATCCCAGGGGCAACTTCAGTGTTATTCTCAGTATTAATAGCTCTCTCCTTGTTTCATCTCTGGATTTCTCCAGTTTCGGCTTCCACATACCAGATTTCATTATGTCTTTTCCTGATAGAATAAGAAGCCATCAACTATCACTAAAGCAGCCTGTGATAAAAAACTTAACTTTCTCTTCTATAAAAATATAGAGACATAATATCTCTCACAATAATTGTTTTCTAATGCTTGTATTCTCATTGGTTTATCTAGAATATAGATTAGACAACTGGTGCCTAAAAACTCAGTTTGAAATTGTTATCAGCATGCTGGTGTGTACCTGTTCAACTCCTGTTTCAGAGGGGGGAAGAAAGAAGGATGGCACGTGGGAGTCTTCAAGCTGAGGAGAAGGAAAACAGTCCTTGCAAGTATATTTGTTTTGTTTGGTCTTTTCGTGTCTGGCATTGGCTGGTATGCAGCCCAAAAGGTTCCCACATACCACAGCACTCTTTGAATCTGTTTCTGAGTCTACAGCCTACAGCAGTAACTGCTGTGCAACTGGTGCTACACATGATGTATGTCACAGGTAAACTGTGTCACGTCCAGATGCTGCAACTATGCAGACAGAGATGGCTCAACAATACTCACAAAACTGAATGTTGCTGCCCTAAGGTTGAGGGGCCTGGCTGCTCATGCTGAGGTAAAGGAGGCATTGAAAGAGGGTGGTGGAGCTGTGATAAGGTGCTGGAAGGAATCGTGAAGAGCCCTGGAGGGTTGCACCTGTGGCTCTGGCAGCCCCGGTGATGTGAGGGCTGGCCACAGTTCTGCTGCAAGAGAGAGTCCATATCCCTCAGCCCTTCCTTGAGAGGCAGCAACAGGTCTTTCCCTTTCCAGAGGGAGGGAAGCTCAGGCAAAGTAGGCAGCAGCCTATGGTAATTTTGCTTCCCCAGGTATCCTGTGAAATGTAAATAGGCAAATACCTATCTACAGAGTTGTCTCTGGAAGCACAGTGCAAAAAGCTGCACCAGAGAAAGAGACCCAAACAACATGGGGGAGCAAGGAACTGATTATATATTAGTGGTTTGAATTCAATCCAAGTAAAAGAAATATCCTCTGGTCAGCTACCCTCTGACATGCAGCAGCAGTGACCGCTGTATGGACAGACTGGTCATCTCAGCCCAGTTCTTAAACATCACCTGTCTGAGGCACATGTTTATAAGGAGTGAGTGCTGAGGAGGCAATAGTGGGTGCTGCAGGTCACCAGAGGAGCTCCATGGTATAGCATAGACCCGTATTACTGCTGTTGTTCATTACAGTTCTGTATTGACCCATCACTGCAAATAGCTTCTCAGCGCAAGAACTTAGACAATAAGAGATCATGGGGAGTGAACTCGTGTGTCTGATCCTCAATAGAGTTGTGAAAAGAGTTGCTGGATGGAAGAGGCTTGGGTAGGCTGGGAGAAGGGGTTGTCCTTGTCCACAACAGAGCTAGGGGAAATACCATTTAAAAAAATTGTTAAATCAATACTCTGAGTAAAGAGGAAAGCAGGTCCCAGCTTGCCCTCTGCTTGGGTGCTGATCCAAGAACTTTGTTGGGCACCTGGGGCAGCTCTGTGGTCAGAGCAGGAGAGGCTGCAAAAGACAGCCTCTGATGGAGGATCCTTGCATATCCATGACCAGTAGGGTGGCCTGTACTGGCTGGGAGTGGGGGACAGAAGACACTAGTAAAAGATGGTGCTAGTCTGTGGGAAGGGTTTTGGCTGCGTTCCAAGTCTTGCACTGAAGTCATGCCTACAGCTGCCAGATGTCAGGATGGGGTGTGGAGAGAAACACGGTTCCCTGCCCCAGGACTCCTACTTGCAGAGCCTATGTTGCTGAAACCAGTGAGCAGGCTGTCCTCCATGGAGAGCAGGAGGAAGGCTGCATTAGCTGGAGAGGTTTTTGGCTCTGTTCCTGGTCTCACACCAGAGCCAGGCACACAGCTTCCAGATGTTTGTGATCTCTGCTCTGGGATCTTTCAGGTTTGTCAAGGCATTGCATAAAGGAAGGAATTATTTCACTTCCACATGGAGAGTGGAAATGTCAAGAGCACCACAGAGATCCCTCTACCTGCTTCTCCCAGGATGGGTCACTTCCAGGGAAGAAGCCTTGGAGAGGGTTCTCTCTCTCTGTACAGATGAGACCCCTGGACAACGCACTCTCAGAGTAACAGTTGCTGAGCTTCCCTGGCATGACTCTGTTCCTGGCAGTTTCCATGGTGATCCAACAAACCAGCAGAAAAGTACAGATCTCTTTTGGAAGACAAATAACACAATGTGATAGTGCATATGCCTGGGGAGGGGAAACAACCCCACTTTCATACTGTCAACTGAGTTCTGGGATTAGTTCTGGGACTTGCCTCCCTACCTCCCCGAGCTGTCAAAGAAAGCATTTCTGTACCCTTCCCAAAGAGCTCAAAGCAGTAGCTCCCACTTGCAGGTGTCACAAACTGCCATAGGCAGGTTCAAATGGTATTTAAATTGATTTTAATGGACAGCACTGGCAAATGATGTCAGCAGGCAGCCCAAACGAACAGTCTCCGATAGTATTTGGATTGGATGGGGTTAGCAGGAAGTGCTGATGAGGAGCCCAAGATGTACCACAACAGGGCCCAGCATGCAAGCACATACACAGGTATGATCTCTGAGGTCCTTTCCAACCCGGTTGATTCTATTATTCTATGACATACCTGTCAACCTAAAGAGAAAACCTGCACTCTGCCCTGTCTCCTGTCAGGTCTGAAAGCACATGGACAAAATCTCAAACCTTTCTTCTTGGTCATAGAGAGAAACTGTCCAAATGCAAGAACAAATTCACAGTCTTACCACCACAGTATCATGCCACCAAGACTTCAGCCACTGCCCTCAAGGTCTCACCCTGCCCTCAGTTTCGTTACAGAAGCAGTAAGTGTTAGTGAGCACACTCTTCCCCATGCAGTTTGGAGGTGCCTGCCTGTCTGATCCCCCCCACCTACCTCCTTGCACGCAGAAACAACTGCCAAACAGCACAGCTGCCTGGATGAAAGGACATGGAGGGAATGGGTGGATGGGTAGCTTTTCTGATCTGCATCACTTTTGTGATGCAGTTTACGGTTTCCAGAAAATTCTAGAGAAGGGGAGGGGTAAAAGTTATAAAGGATAATACGGCTTTCAAATACAGCGAACATGCATCTTAAAAAGGAAACCTAATTTTGTGTGCCTCTGCCTCTGGGCAAAATATTCTTGGCTGGGAAATATTCTTGGCTGGGAAATTCAAAGGTTGGGTATCTCTGAAAACCCATTTCAGGGCGCCTGCAACAGGGTGATCTGGAAAAGATGCTGTTTTTGAAAATATTATTTTAATCTTATTTTTTTAAATTTTGTAATTTCTTATCAATGAACACTGCTTGGGATGCTCAGGGATTGATCTAGTACTTGTCTTTATATGCTGTCTGAGGCAGAAATCTTGTAAGAGAAATGGCACCTTAACTGTAGGTTTCAGAGGTGCTTGGATTTCATTGCACTGACTGCATGTAAGAGATGTAAGAGACTCCCACTGATTTCCTCATGCTGTGCTCCCTTGCCCAGAATCCTGTGAGCCTGCAAGGGAGCTTCTGAAGTTGAGGTCATTGCCTGGCCTCTCCCTCTGTCCGTGATTGCCTCCCCTACTCTGGGGCAGCCCTGTAATGTCAATCCTGGTGTAAATAAGTACTGTGTCTCCTTGCGCCCTCAGAAGCCCATGCCAGGATGCAGCTCTAGACAGACAGCTAATTAAAACAGCTCGAGCAGCTCCAACACAAAACTGAGTTAGGACCTTCTGCAGAGAATGTCATGGGTAATTTTTAATTATTTGTTTAATTAGTGTTAATTGCACACAGTAGGAGGTCAGAACTCAGCCTGCAAATGCTCAGTTGGCTATGAAATGTGAGTTCCCCAGCCATTCTGGAAACACCAGTCGAGGAGCAGGAGAAGGAGGGGGATTTGCACTTGGCTGTCATGATGGCAGTTTCATTCACAGCAGGTGAGTGAAACTTCGGGGATTTTTTTCTGGACCGGAAAGAGCAGGAGAACAAGAAGTAAAAGAAGCTCATCTGAGGAGCCACCGAGGGGGTCAGTGGGCACCTTGGGCCCCCTCTGCACTGGAGAGATCTCAGCCACACCTTCCTGGCTGCCCAAGGCATGGGCACCACAGTCCCACAGGCAAGGACTTGCTCTAGGTATCTAAATTGGGGGTGTTCAATTCAACCTTTCCCTTTTGGGGTTTTCTTTTTGTCAGAAGTGCCTTTAACATTTGCAGCTATTATAAAATATACTGATAATTTTATGTATCTGTGTTTGCATTTATGCATAATAATGGACCTCCGCTGCATACATATCACACATTATCTGTATAACTGCAAAGTGGCTCATGGCAGCATGGAATTCCTATTGGGCTATTCCAATTATATCATCATAATATCAGCTATTACATAAATCATGAGTAATGGGGACTGATATAGCAAGTTAACAGGTCAGTGAAGGCAGGGCGGTTTTAAGAAACCAGCTATGTATCTTGCAAAGAAATCCTTGTAGGAAAAAAAAGCTATGGAATATCATCAAATTAAGCCCTGGAAGAGGCCGTTTTTGGAGCAGTGACTTCTCTTTAAGATCAGCAACAGTCCGACGTGAGCCCCCAACACCGAGGAGCGGCGGGATCCCGCTCCGGCACCGCCCGCTGCCG